AGATAGAGCATTATCGTGGTTTTCCGTTAGTAATTATATAAAGTGTACCAAATTTCATGGGCACATTACAATTGAGACTCCTCATCAAATTACAAAAAGTGATCCGGATCATTCTGGATCTGAGAAGGATTTCCTGAGGTTTTTTCGAAAGTAGTATTTAACGTTATCCAAAATAAGCGCGTGAAATCTCGAAAAGGAGCGGCGGGGGTGAGGGTATGCAATCTCTCTGACTGCTCTTGTTATAAGTGTGATAGCTTTGTGGTTGAAGTATCATCATATTCCCCCTCACCTTATAGTCTCATTAAAAAAGATAATATATTAATAAACCTGAAACATTAGAAATAAATTCACCATATACGTCTAAAGACCATTGATGACACATACTGACGGAAAACTGTGTTGTAAAGTGTGGGTGTTTGGCTAGACATGCAGATTTTAAAACGAGAGATTGAAAGTATAAGGCAGCTTAATCTGGGGGCATGTCCCCCCCATAAAATTAATATAATTTACAGTAAAAGTACATGCAGATTTTACAACGTGAGATTGAAAGTATAAGGCAGCTTAATCTGGGGGCATGTCCCCCCATAAAATTAATATAATTTACAGTAAAAGTAGGGGTGTTACAGCATCCCTGGTTCCAACGCCTCTGCTCAACCAAACAAAATGTTTCCGAAAATCATCTATCCGTCGAAATAGAATACATATTGTATTCTGTGGCACACCTCCTTCCCATGATGCACCAGTCACAAGCTCATAAGTTAGAGACGTTGGCTGACGAAAATAATGTATTTCAGTTTCCGTACCGTGTAAGTCAAAATTTCCAAGCATTAATGGTTAATCGGAATCAACAGAAAGTCATTAAATGCGTGTTTTTTTATGCTGGTCACGTTTAATGAACGATTAAGAGTGGAGGAGTTACATATAAGGAGTTTTAACTCTCACGTCATCAACTATTCCCTTTTTCTATTGCTCACTACCGTAAGGTTCAAATATTGAGTAATTTTGTATTTTTTACCTGTTACAAAACTCAGTGTAAACTACTGGCCGAAACAAACTGGAATAAAGCACCCTTTCTTTAAAAATCTAAATTAAATAGGAGACCCTAGTGGTATTTAGTATAACTAACTGCACTGCTGATGTTGTTTTATTCAGAGTTTTATGTGACTCGTATCTTATTAAAGACACTGTAACCAACCCAGAAGTACCTTGGTACATACATTTTTCGAAAAAAATAGGTGTTAAAGAGCCGTTGGGGTCGGTAACTTCAGGGTTAATCGTGTGTGTACATGCAACTGCGTGACAATTAATATGGGGCTAATATATCAGTATTCTATTATCAAACTACTGTGTCACGTGTTACATATCAAAAAGCTAACTATTGAGGGACTGGTATGAGGCTAAACTTTAATACGTGTGTGGCTTTATATGAACATCAGTAATACAAACCAACAATCCAATGTACTTGAAAGCAAAAATCACGAGTCAGAATTTTTAACACTGATTTCATTCACATATATCAGAAATTCTATCAAGGCCATAATAATAACATAGTAACCAAAAACTGTTCTGGCAACAACCGGAACTTTTGTCTGGAGTAAACATGGTTATGAGACAAACAAGTCTAGAGTTGTCATTTCGACATACTGGCAAGCAGACAAACTAGTCTGGAGTTGTCATTTCGAGATACTGGCAGGCAGACAAACAAGTCTGGAGTTGTCATTTCGACATACTGGCAAGCAGACAAACAAGTCTGAAGTTGTCATTTCGATATACTGGCAAGGAGACAAACAAGTCTGGAGTTGTCACTTCGACATACTGGCAAGCAGACAAACAAGTCTGGAGTTTACATTCTGACATACTGGCAAGCAGACAAACAAGTCTGGAGTTTACATTCTGTTTACCTCGGTAACAGCGATCTCCATGTCATAACGTTGCCCTCTAATAGATCACAAGGTTGACAATATTTCAACAGTATAATTTGCTTAAATAATTAATCACAAAGAAACGAGTATTGATTTTTAAATTATGTTTGTCCCCATCGTGTACAGGTGCTGTGGGATGTCAAGGAAGCGACAACGATCTATTACATAGGATATGGGATCTCACTCTTGGCGTTGCTAGCGGCCCTCACTATATTCTTGTATTTCAAGTATGTAACATGGAAGTTTGATTTTTTTCAAGCGAGCAGCCATAAGAGTTTCATTGCAATTTTCCCACACTTATAAGAAACTCTACAGGTTCTCAGATCTTTATGATTCTCAAACAAACAACATTTAAGAGTAACAAAGGACAACAATTCTGTCAATAATTATTATTTTACGATAAACTTTTTTCTAATATTGTAATACAGTCAATAAAAGTAACGGTTTTAATATTTCTATTTTTGAGATATTTTCCTTTTAAAAAACTGTAGATATGTATAATCTCACAGAAAATGAAATGTGTGAGAAGAGTTATCTTCTACTCCAAGACTAGATACTTGTGATTGGGGTAAAACTTAACCTCTGGTAAAAACTAGACTTTCAGAACAAACTCGAGTTAGAATGGAAAGTAAATGTTCATTGTAATATTCATTTTCCTACTTTTAAAATAAAAACAACGACAACTGTAACACTGGAGTCTAGATCTAATACTTCTCTTTGTCTGCATCTAGAGATCTTCGGTGTCTCCGCAATACCATCCATACCAATCTTATTGTCACATATATTCTACTGGACATGACGTGGATTGTAACAGCCAATTTTCAACTTCAACCAAACCCTACGGTAGCAGGAACCAAGGTGACGAGTTAGAATGTTTTAAAGATTTAAGGTTTTTTTTTTCAGAGTATCCAACATTTTTAGGATAATACTAAAAAAGTACATCATATATCTCTCTTTAATAATTATAGTTCATCTACAAGAAACTACTTTGTTTCGTGTTAAAACCTGAACGAGATATCTAAGTAGCAGGAACCAAGGTAAGGAGTTAAAAATAACGGTAAAACCTGAATGAGATATCTAAGTAGCAGGAACCAAGGTAAGGAGTTAAAAATAATTAGGTATTGTGTATAGATAGTAACCATTTATTTTCCTCTTAGTATTTGTTTGTATATTCACCTGAATGACTCTTTCTGCACACAATGGGCTAAACGGCCAGGCTAGAGACCCTATGGCTCATGCATTTATTTGTTCATTTGATAAAACTAGATATTTAAGATATGTTAAGAACTCATAAATGATGTTTTTCTATATAAATTGAAAAAAAAACGTCTGTTTCGCACAAAGAACAAAGAATAGAAAGTTCTATATAACACAGATTTTCACATATTTTGGTTCCCGCTACTTAGATATTTTGTTCAGGCTATCCCATTATCCCCCCAATGGCACAGCGATATGTCTGAGGACTTACAACGCTAGAAACCGGGTTTCGATACCCGTGGCGGGCAGAGCACAAATAACCCATTGTGTAACTTTGTGCTTAACTTCAAACAAAAACAAACTATCCCATTATTTTTAACTCCTTATATCTAAAAACTTGGCGATTGTTCAACCTATTATTTAATCCTGCTACTTAGATATCTCGTTCAGGTTTTACCGTTATTTTTAACTCCTTACCTTGGTTCCTGCTACTTAGATATCTCGTTCAGGTTTTACCGTTATGAGGGTTAAAATCAATAGTGCAACAGGTGGTATTGACCTATAACTTGGTGGTTTAAATCAATAATACAACAGGTGGTATTGGCTTATAACTTGGTGGTTGAAATCAGTACTGCAACAGGTGGTATTGACCTATAACTTGGTGGTTGAAATAAATAGGGCAACAGGTGGTATTGACCTATAACTTGGTGGTTGAAATCAGTACTGCAACAGGTGGTATTGACTTATAACTTGGTGGTTAAAATCAGTACTGCAACAGGTACTATTGGCCTATAACATGGTCGTTTGAAACAAGTAGAGCAACCGAAATGGACAACAACTTAGAAATTTGAATTTTTATGACAAGAATAACGAGATTTTTCACTCGTTCGAAAACTCACTGGGTGTTGTAGCATTTGTAGTGTATTGTGTGCCAATTAGGAATTGTGTACCAATTAGGTGTTGTGTACCGTTATAAGCCAATACCACCTGTTGCAGCACTGATTTTAACCCTCATGTTATAAGCCAATACCACCTGTTGCAGCACTGATTTTAACCACCAAGTTATAAGCCAATACCACCTGTTGCAGCACTGATTTTAACCCTCATGTTATAAGCCAATACCACCTGTTGCAGCACTGATTTTAACCCTCATGTTATAAGTCAATACCATCTGTTGCAGCACTGATTTTAACCACCAAGTTATAAGCCAATAACACCTGTTGCAGTACTGATTTTAACCCTCATGTTATAAGTCAATACCACCTGTTGCAGCACTGATTTCAAACACCATCTTGTAGCTCTAATCTTCTCGTTCCTAGTAATACTAAAGTCTGTGAAGTACATAATCCACGGCAATACGCTATTTTCAACAAGTGAATTGTAAAATTGAAAACAAAATCTTAAAAGAAGAGTAATTTACGAAATATGGTTGACAACCATTTCAGGAACTGTGAAAGAAGTCTTTGTGAACTTCATGACTTTCATCTAAGATTTTATCATGTGTAGAGAAACTATGGTGGTTCGTGACCTCAAGAACTTTAAATAAGTTTCATACTTAAATATTTTCTGAGGTTTTGTCACGAGTTTAGTTAAAGTTATTAAACTAATTTAGTATAAATTATCTATTTTCACAGACAGCTTGTGTGTTGACCATCGAATACACGAATATAGAAACATTAGTACTAAACATTGTAGTATGCACAAGAATACACGAATATAGAAACATTTTAGAACAGTAGATGACCAGCCATATTCTTCACAAAACTCCATATCGCTAGTCAACACAATAACGGTTGTGAACTTTGATCGTGGCTACTTATAATCAAACAGCTTGAGTGGCAGATAAAGTTATTATTTACTCAGACTATCGTAAAGACTTACCCCATCCCACAAGAGCGTAGATCTGGACCTTGATGACCTCAAAAGAAAACGTTTTCACCACCAGGACATAGAGATAGAGGCCTTCGACGAACATCCAGAAGAAGTTAGTGCCCATTAAATATGTCAGAAAGATTGTCAAGACACAAGCTGCCTGTAAAAGTTATTAATTAATTCTAAATATCAAAAAGACACAAGATGCCTGTAAAAATAACTAATTAATTCTAAATATTATCAATACACAAGCAGCCTGTAAAAATAATTAATTAATTCTAAGTATTATCAATACACAAGCTGCCTGTCAAAATATATGATTATTTCTAAATATTATCAAGACACAAGCTGCCTGTAAAAAATATTAATTAATACTAAAAATTGTCAAGAAACAAGCTGTCTGCGGAAATACGTAATTAATACTAAAGACGCGCCCATTATGTGAGGTCGTTCTAGTAAAAAAAAAAAAAAATCTATAAAGTTTGTGATAACATTCATTGCGGTAAACCAGAAACCTCCTTATGCATAATGATTACTTATTCAACGGATTCGTGAATTCGAAACTTGTGCTTGTTTCGAAAGTAACTACTATAAGATAAGCCTCGTGCGTAAGTTCATAAAATGCTTTGAAAAGGACAGGCTGAAAAACTAAAGTAATATAAGTTGTTCTTCATAAAGACCATATTTAAACGCGCAATGATCGATACGTGCTGAGACTATCCAATAGGCTTGGTTCTATTAACAACCAGCTAAGCCCTTCACTCACGTTAAAAGCGAAATATAAATTCAACAGCACTTCAAGGCTAGAAATATACTACGTCCTTTTTGTTTTTTCGTCGTCCGTTTTCCGAGTTGATTAGACAAAAACGATCTTAGACTCACACACGAAGATGAAGAGGTTTTTTTTTTTTGTTTTTTAACATTCTTTGCAATTTACTTCCGACCCAAGTTCAAGTAACTTTCTTTTTGTTTGTGGTAAGAATTTTACTAGACGAAACGCATGCGCATCACAGTAGATGTGGAAAATTTTGTTTGGACTTTTAGATAGATGTTCTAAGTACGCTAAATTACCGCCTTTTTTAATTGTCAGGTGGCTCTGCTGACAGATAGACTTTCGCAAGTTAGACACCTACAAATACCGACAAATTAGAAGCTTATCTCAGAAAATTCGAGCCAAATTTCGCACATCTGCTGTCATGTGTGTATGGCGATTCACCTGTTCGAAATTATCCCAAATTTTAATAGATCTGTCAGTCAACAAGAACTACATGAATAACTGCTGTACTTGAACCCAGACCCGAGCTAAATTCCAAAAAATATATAATTGTTGATGTTAGGCCTAACCCAATTTTGAACACTAGTACCCTACACATTTACTGTACTTGAACCCAGACCCGAGCTAAATTCCAAAAGAATATATACTTGTTGAAGCTAGGCCTAACCCAATTTTTAACACTAGTACCCTACACATTTACTGTACTTGAACCCAGACCCGAGCTAAATTCCAAAAGAATATATAATTGTTGAAGCTAGGCCTAACCCAATTTTTAACACTAGTACCCTACACATTTGCTGTACTTGAACCCAGACCCGAGCTAAATTCCAAAAAAAATATATAATTGTTGAAGCTAGGCTTAACCCAATTTTTAACACTAGTACCCTACACATTTTGCAACATGGTGAGGGGAAATATTTCTACAGATGAGGAGAGAGGCGTGGCATAGGGTTAACGTGCCGGACTGTGAATCCGGGGATTCATTTTTCAAGTCTTGTTATCGCAAAATCGCGCTCTGCCCCTGGGGCCGTGGGTGCGTTATATGAGTGACAGCCAAATACCACTATTCAGTCAGACAAGAGTTGGCAGTGTGTGTTGTTGACTAGTTACCTTCCTTCTTGTCTGTCAGTTCAGAATTATGGACGGTTGACGTAGAGAGACTTTGTGTATTTTCATGTGTATATCCAGAACAAACAAACAATAAACAATAAAGAAAGTTAATTTGTTTGAAAAAGGTAATTACTTTCGAAACAAACTAAACAATGTAATGTTTTAGAAAGGATAGATTAATCTTTGAGTTGATCGATTTCAACTGTTAGTTTGACAGGTAAACCTCCAGGATTGACTCGCACGTTATTGACTATCTATTTTCTACATTTGTAGTCGTAGTCTTAACGGAATTTAATTGTTTTAATGATGATCATACTACATGGCTAGGCTGTGTAAAAACTACATTTTGGGAGCTATCCGTTGAGACAGCAGTAAGTATTTAAATTTAATTACCAAAGAAATAGTTTTAGTAGAGAATTAACAAACTTATCAAAATATCGAGAACGCGCTGAGAAACAAATAGCGGTTAAAAGTTATTTGTAAACATTTGGAGTTAGCTAATGAACGAAAGTCCATAGAAAGAAGTGAAGATGGTTCGGGAATCCGTGAGACTTTCGCTAGCCCTATGATGAAAAGTTTGAGAATACAGTGCGCGTGCTCATACGCAGAGACTCTGTTTGTAAGAAGAAAAAAACGCGAATATCGTTGTAGGTCTATTTAATAAAATAAATTTGAATTACAGAAAATGTCTGTAAATTGCTGTATTGTGGGATGCGTGGAAAGATTTATAGCGAGCACTGGTCTAAAATTCTTCAGAATTCCCACTAAAGAGATACTGTTGGTAACAAGCGGATAAGAAGAAAACTTTCAATCAAACAGCAATTTCTAAAGGTTCTATCGTAAAGCTTTCATGTCCAAAGCACACCAATCCTCCCTGAGTAATATCCATAATCCATCTAGTGTATGAGTAAAATTGTTTTTAGCGCCTTTTCAACAGTCCAATCACACATAACTCCACAGGCGCTGAATCTGGCATGTCTTCATATGGAATAGCATGAATACTCATTTCATGTTCCAGCTATTTAAGGTTAAATATATATGTCGTGGAAGTAATTCATGTACATATGATTTGAGTAGCTTTTCTATAAGAAGGTCCTTCTTGATTATGTTACGTATTATTGCCAAGGGAAAGTGGACTGCTTTTGCCACTGACCTTTGGGTATTTGTAGATTCTCTTCTGTTTCAAGACTGTTCACTATGATTTACAGTGTTGGGGCATGACTTGTTGCAAGTCCCTTGGTGTTGGTGCCCCATGTTGATCCACAATTCTTTGTGTTTTTTTTTTGTAACGCCATTAAGTACAAGGTGTATCTCCGTCTTGGAAGTTCTAACTCCTAGACCTGAACATATCTTCACAATCTAAGTGTATTGATATTTTGCGTCGTAAAGGACTGTTAAATACCCTTTCCAAAAAACCCTTAATTTTTGGTGGTATCAGACTACCTACGTAAAGCCAAACATTTCATTCCAATGTGACTTATATTGGTTGTGGTTTTCATGTAGATTGTTGATTTGTCTATTCAGAATAGTTTTCGTATGATATACTTTACCCTCTGTAATATACGAGCCTCTGTTCTATCCGTAACACTCTGATGAGTTGACTTCTGACTGTACTCAAGAAAAGATCAACACTCGTGATTAGTGGTATGCAAATATGGAGCTTAGTGAAACAGTATAGATATTCCCCACCAGATGGCAAAGCAATAAAATTATGAATATTAAAGAAAAAGCCAGATTTTGCAGTTTCTTTCCAATTTCGTGCCAAGGTCGTTAGCGAATGTATAGTGAGCATTTCTAAATTATAATACTTGTTTGTTTTGCTAGTACAATAATGCCAATGTGTAGTTTCCTTTAGACAACTATTGTGGGCATTACCGTGAACTTATCCCACTGAAGAACTGTCATACCATAACAAAGAAAGTATTCTCGTTTATTAGGGTATAGAACGTTTTACGTCATGGAAGCGTGACCTTCGTCAGGAAAGCGTGACCTTTAGATCAGTTGTGACATTACTAGGGTATAGAACGTTTTACGTCAGGGAAACGTGACCTTTAGATTAGTTGTGACATTACGCTACAATAAGGCTGATGATAATTTGTAACAAACCTTACTTTAATGGTCATATACAGTTTCCAGTATGAAGACGATAATACCATTTCGACCATATACTTAGTATGCTGCACGCCGCTGCCGACGGTTTTTTATTTTAAGTAAAATGCTCTCTAGTGGCGACAAGCTACAGAAGCAGTCTTTCCTTACTTTACTTTCGTCAGTCGATACTAACCACGTGGTTGGAATACACTGGCTCCCTCTTTCCCCTTCACGATAATCAGAAGTTATAAATTAATGAGATAGAATGCGGAGTCAGTAAGCCGAAACATCACTAGAACTGTGTTTACTTACGTAATACTTAAAGCTACTATTAGATAGCTACACACAATAATACATGAGTATAGAAACATTAGTAGTATTAAACATTGTAGTATGCACAATAAATCATGAGTGTAGAAACATTAGTACTAAACATTGTAGTATGCACAATAATACATGAGTATAGAAACATTAGTACTAAACATTGTAGTATGCACAATAATACATGAATATAGAAACATTAGTATTAAACATTGTAGTATGCACAATAATACATGAGTATAGAAACATTAGTACTAAACATTGTAGTATGCACAATTTATCTAGTTGCTATATAAACTGTCATTGTTTTGGAAATGAACAGAAGCGTGAATAAAAATTATCAAATCATTAACAGCCTCCCTCATGATCATATTGAGGCACTGATACAATAGTCTTCACTTTTATCATCTTTCAAACGACCATCTGTTTGTTCGTTTCTATTATGTAACGGTTTATTTCTGTTTTAATTAAATAGTCGCGTCAAATGTCTGTGTGTTAAGTCACTGTGAGATCTTTAGTTTGTTTTGTTTGTTTGAAGTTAAGCACAAAGCTACACAATGGGCTAGTTGTGCTCTTCCCACTGCGGGTATCGAAACCCGATTTCCAAGATCTTTAGGTAAAGGAAAGAAGAAAAAATAATGATTTTATTGCTATACGGTTTTGAATGGCAATATCTGACGAAGCTGTATCAACCGATTTTTAATATGTGATATTGTTTAAAAGCAAAATTTTAGAAGGACTTTTAGCTGACGAGTTCTGGTATTGAACGAAAGGCCTTCTGTGCCAGGTAACAGATAGAGACGCTCATCATTACATCACTCTTACTTGAAACCCGGAAATTACTAAGAGAAATGTTAAA